TCTAAAAAGATTGGAAGGTAATATAGGATAGAATAATATCTCTTTAATCTTGGAATAAGAAAGATTTCTGAAACTAGATACAAAAAGCTCTAACCAACAGCTGTCAGAATACTGCCATCAACAAGTCATCAAACAACAAGTGTTGGCAAGGGTGTGGAGAAAAGGGGTCTCTGGTACACTGCTGGTGGGAATGCAGACTGGTGCAGCCACTATAGAAAACACTAGGGTGTTACCTCAAAAAATTAAAAATTGAATCACCATTTGACCCAATGATCCCACTTCTAGGAATATACTCTAAGAAGACTGAAACACCAATCAGAAAGAATATATGTACCTCTATGTTCATAGCAGCACTATTTACAATAGCTAAGATCTGGAAACAGCCCAAGTGTCCATCAGTAGATGAGTGGATAAAAAAGCTGTGGTGCATATACACAATGGAGTACTATGCAGCTATAAGAAAGAAAGATCTCTTATCCTTTGAGACAACATGGAGGGACCTGGAGAGTATTATCCTAAGTGAAGCAAGCCAAGCAGAGAAAGACAAATACCACATGATCTCACTTATTTGTGGAATATAATGAACATAACAGTCTGAGGAACAGGGTAGACCCAGAGACGTGGAAGTAGGGTACAGACTGACAGTCCTCAGAAGAGGGGGTGGGGGAGGGAGGGAAGAGATAAACCACAAACTTATATGCATGTACACATAACCAATGGACATGGACAAAGCTGAGGATGGGGTGGGGGGATGGGGAGGAGGGTGTCAATGGGGAAAAAAGGAGAAATATCTGTAACAAAAACAAATTAATAATAAAATATATATACATATATATCAGGAAAAAAGCATATAGAGATATATAAATACTACATAAACATAAAAAAAAGCTCTAACCATAAGGAAAAGATGGATAAATTTGACTACAGTAAAATCAATATTGTCCACTCATCCAAAAGACCACAAAGAAAGGAAGAAGACAAACCACAAACTTGGGTAAGATATTTGCCACACATCACTGACAAAATATATGAAGATTATATAAAATATATCAACATGGAAATTTGAGGGTCGAATAATCATATGAAACTTCCCGCACTTTCCTCGGAGAAATACAAATTAAAGCCATAAGAAAACACCATGTTGCTATCAATCCAATGGCAAAACAAAAATCCGAACAGTTGCTAATATTAAGTGTTGGCAGGATGTGGAGCAAGAACACCTAGGCATCACAGGTGGGAGTGCAAATTGATCCAACTCTCTTTTTTTTCTTTATTGATTTTAGAGAGAAAGGGAGGGGGAGAGATAGACAGAAACATCGATGAGCGAGAACATTGATTGGCCAAATCCCCCCAGTGGGCATGTGCCCTGACTGGAAATTGAACTGGCAACCTCTTGGTGTACTGAGCCACACCGGCCAGGCAGTCCAACTCTTAAATAAAAAACAGTCTGGCAGAATTTTGTAAGTTGCACCTTTGCATCCTATGAGATCCACTGATTCCATTTCTAGGCCTATATAAGAGAGAAACCCTCACACAGGTGCACCTGAAGCCTTGTAAAAGAAATGCTCAGTAAAGCATTGTTGTAATAGCTAAAAATAAAAAAGAACCCAAATATTAATGGCCAGGAAGCTAGGTAATTAATTTGTATATTCACATAATTGACTGATCTGCATAGCAGTACAAATGAATTAAATAATTCATTTATTATAGGCATAGCCGGCTGGTGTGGCTCAGCGGTTGAGCATCGACCCATGCACCAAGAGGTTGCCGGTTTGATTCCCGGTCAGGGCACATGCCCGGTGGTGGGCCAAATCCCCAGTGGGGCAGGCAGGAGGTGGCCAATCGATGTTCTCTCTCATTGATAATTCTACCTCTCTCTCCCTCTCCCTTCCTCTCTCTCTTAAAATCAATAAAGAAAAAAAATTTTTTAAATATATTATAGGCATAAACACGAATCTTAGAAATAGAAGTTTGGGGGTATTAGAGAATAATACATGTATTTTATTACTGTTTTCATAATGTTCAAACTCAAGCAAAACTACTTTAGGGATTCATAAATATGTGGAAGAATTATAAAACAAACCAGAGAAACTCAGGGCCAAAGTTATTAATTAGCCTGGATTGGATAACATGAGGAGATTGACTAATATATGGGAAATCGACATATTTTCATGATTGTGTTTGGATCTAAGAATAAATGTGTCTTTAATGTCTCTCAAGGGTATAGATGTGGTGGGGATGGAGGATAGAGGCTGGGGTGATGTGGGGGGGTGGTTTCTGAACGTGGGGACAACATTTCTTGCACCCCTGAGCAATGCATGCTTCTCCCCACATCTAGAGATGATCTACTTCCCCTCCACTTAGATCAGGGATGTTTTGACCAAGAATGCCATGGAGTGACATTCTGGAACTTCTATTCCAGGCCTTAAGAGGACTGGCAGTTAGGGTTCCGTTTGGGCCGGTGACTTGGGCTTGTGAAGGGATTCACAGCTGAGAGAAAGGGGAGGAAACGCATTCATTTTCCCGGCAGACAGGGAGAGGGCCTATGCACTGACTGGCAATACAAGGACAGAGCAAAGAGAGTGAGTTGCTCTTTTATTGGGGGCTTTTGGGAGTAAAGGGCACATGTGCCAGGAAGGTTTTGTATCATATCATCTCTAGCCTGTCAAATATGCCGGGGAGGGGGGACACACATGGGAGAAGGAATGTGGGCGGGGGCTACGGGAGCGGGTTGCCAGTGAGTCACAGTCACGGGTCCAGTGTTTCAACAATCAGGTTGTTAATCTCTCCATGAGGTCGGGTAGTCCCCCCTGTCCTCAGATTAGGAGAATGGACAGCGTTCCGGAGGTCAGCTCCAGAGGCGCACCCCTCCCAGCCAGGTCAGAATGGGCTTTGCTTTCATCAGAACAAAGCGATCACGATTAACATTGCAAAGGATGATTAACGTTTTCTAACTATGGCGAGTGCCTGACTATGATTAGTTTTCTTACTCTTCTAATATTTTCTACTAATTCTAATATTCTTTCCTGCCCCCTTTCAGTTGGGTAGAAAGGTGGTTTGAAATGGCAGACACCAGCCAGCTCGGCACTTAATTACCAAGTGCTTCTCATACATGGTGGGAAAAAATCATAAAAAAAGAAAAGCTTGTTTTTGGTCCTTACAGGCAGTTAGGGCTCCCCCTCTCCTGGAGGTCAGTGGCCACACTGCTAGGAAGTCCGGGCAAGGTTACTGCTTGGAGGCCACACCAAGGCAGAGAGGAGAGGAACCGTCTTGAATGTTCCAGCCCAGCCATGTCCCGACTGAATGCGAAACAGGAAGGAGCAGCTAGCACCTGAGCACCAGAATCAGTCATCTCCAGAACATACTCATCCCGCAGGATCAGGAAAAATAACAAACCGCTGTTTAGCATTAAGTTCCGAGGTGGTTTGTTACCCAGCAACAAAGGGAAAGGTGCGTGCGAGGAATTCAGTGCTATTGGCAGTCTTCTGTTTCCTAAGTTCGCAGGTGGTTTCCAGATATACATTGGTCATTTGCTTCAGAACTTACCCACTAATGATTTGCATATATTTTGTATATTTTAAATGCTTTGCAATATAAAATATGTAAACCCTCTATGCAAAAACGTTTCTCCCAGTTTTGTTCTGTATGTTCTACTTAACAGTGATAAAACATCTTTTCATGTTTAGCTATGATCCATTTATATTTCTCTCTGAACTAACTGCCTGTTTATATTCTTGCCTTTTTTTCCCTATCAGATCATTCATTTTTCATTGTAAGAACTTTGCATATTAGGGAAAATAGCCCTTATGTCTTATGTTTCAACATCTCCCCCAGTGTGCAGCTTGTAAATCTTTTGACTTGGTGCTTTGCTGTGTATAAATTATAACTTCATAGTCCAAGTTATTGGTGGATGTCCTGCTTCAAAAGGTCTTTCCTCCTCCGAGATGATCTTTTAAATCATCTCAAGTACTTTCATACTTAAAACCTTTGCTCCATCTAGAATTTTACCAGGAAGTAGGATCCAGGTTGATTTTTTTCAAAATAGCTAGCCAGTTGTTCCATTAAAAGTAATCTATACGTCCCTCACTGAATTTTCTTGAATTTAAGTCAACTTCCAGGCCTTCCATCGCATCCTATTGACCATTTAAAGATGGTCATTATTGCCCTGGCCAGTGTAGCTCAGCAGCTGGAGCGTCGGCCTGCAGACCAGAGTCCCGGGTTTGGTTCTCGCTAGGGGCACATACCCCCCCCCCAAAAAAAAGATTGTCATTATTAATTGTGGACATTTATAATGCTTAATATTTGAAGGCTATTCTCCATGTGTACTTTCCTGAAAGAACTGAAGGTTAAAGAAATAAATTTTGTTGGTATTCTCATTGTGATTATATTTAGATCAATCTCTTTGCAAGATTTAAACAAGGTGTATCTGTACTGACCTGAGTCTTTCATGTCCCTCACAGGGTTACGGAGCCTGTGAATGGGACCAAAGGTGTAGGCACCTGTCCTCATCCCCAGGGCAGGACCCAGGTCCCACCTCTGGGGTTCACTGGGCCAAGGCTCTGGGCAGCTCTCCCGCTTCCTTCTCTGCAGAACAAGGACCTGCCTCATGCCAAACCACAGCTCAGATCCACCAACATGGTTGCTTAATGCCCAGAAATTGTGGAGAACACGTCACCGTCCTTGTGCTTAAGGACGAGCAGTAATGATATCATCTCCCAGGGTGGTTTATAGGCACTTAGAAGCAGCATAACCTTGGGCCAGTTGTGCACGCTCTGAGCCCTCTCCTTCTCCCTCACCTGCAAAACAAGTCTACCTGGCTCAGGAGGGGACATCTTCCGTGGTCCTGGGCTGAACCAGGGAGCAGGCTCACCTCTGCAGGGGTCAGATGCCATGGCTGGCTGGCTTCTCCTGCCCCCTCCTGCTCTGCCCCAGGCCCAGCTCTGCACCACCCCCACCTGCCACTTTCAAGTCAAAGTCAGAAGTCAAAGATTTTTATTGTTCTACAGACGCTTCTGAAAAGAGATCTAATTGAGAAAGTATACAAAGCGTGGAAGAGTCTAATCTCCAGGGAGCACCTAAGTCTGACTGGAGGCGTCAAGCACCCCTCTTCAGGGCTCAGGGCTCAGAGCGCTTAGCATATCGAACGATCAGTAAAAACATGCAAAAGTGAGCAGGAAAAGGAAAAGGGTGCGTCCCCCCAAGGGGGCGGCGGGGGAGGCGGGCTGCAGAACAAAGAGGCAGGGGGTGCAGGTACCAGGTGGCGCTCCCTCCTCTCCGCAGGATCTTCTAAAACAGCTGGCAGTTCGGAGGAAGCAGGGAGCCCCCACCCCTCAGCGAGACCCACAGCCCGTCTCGGGTCCGTGCTGCGCTCCGCCCACAGGGCAGAGTGAGAAGCGACCCTCCGCGGCCCTCCCCGTGTGCCGGTGGCTGCGGCCCAGGCTGCTCCGCCTGGGGGCGGCGCTGGCGGCCCAGGCTCCTCCCTCTTTGGTTCTATTCGGAGAACGATTGTGCTTGACAAACTCCTCCCACCCCCAAGCTCCAGGCTCCGTCTGGGGGGCCGAAGGCACTGACCCGAGTCCTGGGGGACCCCCAGGACAGCCACCTTCCCTTGTGCTCTGGGCGGGCCCATCCCTGGACACAGCCCCCCATTCTCAGTCCAGACCAGGGAATTGGGCCCCGGGAGTGTGCTGTGCAAGGAAAAACCTTCGGGACTTTCCCAACTGTGCGGGCATTTCTGAACCCCACTTCTCACCCCTCCCCCACCCTGTCCCCTAGCCCAGGACCCCCGCGTGCCCAGCCCCCCACCCAGTCCTTCCCGTGGACTGCCAGTGCGGCTGTGGGCCGGCCCCTGAGGACCACCTTTCAGGTGGTCACAGAAACCACCTTAGGGCGCCCTCTCTGCGGGCCAGGCCCGGGGCATCAGCAGCTCCGGTGCAGGGAGGCGGGCAGGGCTGGGCAGGACTGTGGAGACACGTCACGGATATGGATGGCGTCCAAAGTACAAGCAAGGGGAGGGGAGGAGGGGGGCCAGAGAGCGGTAGGCGAAGAGGACAGGCGGGTGGGAGTGGGGCCAGACGGAGGGGAGGCCTTCACACCACCCCGCAGATGAGCGTCTCCACCACGAAGGTGTTCTCGAAGTGGCGGATGGCGTTGCACTTCTTGGCCCCCCGCTTGTTGATTCCTACCAGAGAACAGAAATCCCAGTGAGGCCCTGTTCTGGCCCAGAACTGGCTGGGCTACAAAAGCCAACAGCCTCGGAGCCTGAGCAGACCTCAGAGCTTCGGGGAGGAGGCGGCCCAGGAAAACAAACCCAGTCACCCAAAGGCAGCGCAATAAAATGCTGAGCGCTCCGGAGCTGGTGTCAGAGGGCCTGGCTCTGCCTCTCTCCTGCTGTGTGACTTTAGAGTGTTAATTAACTTCTCTGTGCCTCAGTTTCCTCACCTTTAAAAGGGGCAGCAATAATGATGATGATGATTAGTATCCTTTAAGGACATAAGGAGCATATATAATGCGTGGCCCTAAGTGCTCAATTAACATTAGCTGCTATTGCTGCTGCTCTCTGAGGTCTGACCGCTGGTCCAGCTCTGGGACCGGGCACTGCTGGGGACAGCTGTGGGTTGGAGCCCAGGGAAGGGGCCACTCACGCCTCCGAGTAGCCCGGCGCCGCAGCCGGTAGGTGTCCTTCCCATTGCACAGGTGGTAGATGAAGGAGCCCAGGGTCTCCTTGTCACTGACATGCTCTGTGACCACCATCTCCTCCTGGATGATGTACGTCTGTGGCAGGTAGGTCCCTCTCTGCAAAGGGAGTGACCACAGTGCTGGTCAGTACCCAGGGCTTCTCTCCTGTGGTCTCCACTGCTCACTGCCCACTCCCCTTGTCACCATCCTCCTGCTCAATGGAACTGTCCCCCAACGTTGAATGCACACATGCCCCTCTCCCCCATGCAGAGGCGCCACAGCTCGGCCTTCTAATGTCTCCAGGCACTTCCTGCTGTGCCAAGTACTGCCACCTGCACTGCCCTGAATTCTGCATGTGTGGGAGTCTGATCTCCCACCCTAAAGGCAGGGCTCCTGCCTCTCCCTGCACTGCAACTGGAGCATGGAGAAGGGCAAGGAGTGGGGCATGAGATGGGGCATAAGATGAGGCATGGAGTAGGGCATAGAGAGGGGCACAGAGAGGGGCATGGAGTGGGGCATGGAGTGGGGCATGGAGTGGGGCATAGAGGGGCATGGAGAGGGGCATGGAGTGGGACATAAGAGAGGGGCATGGAGTGGGGCATAGAGAGGGGCATGGAGTGGGGCATAGAGAGGAGCATGGAGAGAGGCATGGAGTGGGACATAGAGAGGGGCATGGAGTGGGGCATAGAGAGGGGCATGGAGAGGGGCATGGAGTGGGACATAGAGAGGGGCATGGAGAGGGGCATAGAGAGGGGCATGGAGAGAGGCATGGAGTGGGGCATGGAGTGGGGCATGGAGTGGGACATAGAGAGGGGCATGGAGAGGGGCATGGAGTGGGGCATGGAGTGGGGCATGGAGTGGGACATAGAGAGGGGCATGGAGAGGGGCATAGAGAGGGGCATAGAGAGGGGCATGGAGAGAGGCATGGAGTGGGGCATGGAGTGGGGCATGGAGTGGGACATAGAGAGGGGCATGGAGAGGGGCATGGAGTGGGGCATGGAGAGGGGCATAGAGAGGGGCATGGAGAGAGGCATGGAGTGGGGCATGGAGAGGGGCATAGAGAGGGGCATGGAGAGGGGCACAGAGAGGGGCATGGAGAGAGGCATGGAGTGGGGCATGGAGAGGGGCATAGAGAGGGGCATGGAGAGGGGCACAGAGAGGGGCATGGAGAGAGGCATGGAGTGGGGCATGGAGAGGGGCATAGAGAGGGGCATGGAGAGAGGCATGGAGTGGGGCATGGACTGGGACATAGAGAGGGGCATGGAGAGGGGCATGGAGAGAGGCATGGAGTGGGGCATGGAGAGGGGCATAGAGAGGGGCATGGAGAGAGGCATGGAGTGGGGCATGGAGAGGGGCATAGAGAGGGGCATGGAGAGAGGCAAGGAGTGGGGCATGGAGAGGGGCATAGAGAGGGGCATGGAGAGAGGCATGGAGTGGGGCATGGACTGGGACATAGAGAGGGGCATGGAGAGAGGCATGGAGTGGGGCATGGAGAGGGGCATAGAGGGGCATGGAGTGGGGCATGGAGAGGGGCATGGAGGGGCATGGAGTGGGGCATGGAGTGGGGCATGGAGAGGGGCATAGAGGGGCATGGAGTGGGGCATGGAGAGGGGCATGGAGGGGCATGGAGTGGGGCATGGAGAGGGGCATAGAGGGGCATGGAGTGGGGCATAGAGGGGCATGGAGAGGGGCATAGAGGGGCATGGAGTGGAGCATGGAGAGGGGCATAGAGGGGCATAGAGAGGGGCATGGAGAGAGGCATGGAGTGGGGCATGGAGAGGGGCATGGAGTGGGGCATGGAGTGGGGCATAGAAGGGCATGGAGTGGGGCATAGAGGGGCATGGAGTGGGGCATGGAGTGGGGCATGAAACTTCCTTGCCCCAGGCCTAGCCTCCACAGGGAGGGACAAGATGCCACCTGGATAGATCACCGCTCACCTTCACGTTCATGAGGAGCTCCCAGAAGCTGCGAGGGGGCAGCACAATGGTGGTGTTGAGTTCAATGACGTAGCACTTGTCCAGGGAGATGTCATGGTAGGCTGTCAGACCCTGGGAAGGAGGAGGGCCCACATCAGTCCCTGCAGGCTACAGCCTGGCCCAGGCAGGGCTGGGAGAGGCCTCAGCCAGCAAAGGCAGGGCCCCACCCCCGCCATGGCAATAAAATATCTTTTTCTGTTCCTCTCCTAGCCTGTTTCTGGAAGATTCTACTTACTAGATGAAGGATACAAACTGTTAAATGCCTCAGAGTTCTGCTCATGGAGTTAGAGAGCTGAGGTTTGGGGAGCACAGTAATGTGCATTTCATAAAAGCCGTAGGGTCCATGTCTGTGGACCCTCGGTGAGAAGCACCCCATCCCAGGCGCTCCGCGCTACACCTCGATGAAACATCGACGCGGGAATACTTCAGTAAACAGGGACACTGGCCTGGCCCAGAAGAGCCAGCGTCTGCAGCTGCCGGGCGGGCGGGGAGGACCCGGCGCTGGTCTGCCAGTGCTCACTGCCTGACCTACGCAGGGTGGGCAAAAGTAGGTCAGCTGTGCGTATGGAAAATAATACAGTAATTACTAAGTAACAATACAAGAACATACTTACTTTTGCCCCACCCTGTATAAAAAAAGCAATGTCTTTAAAACCTCACAAAGCTAAGCCACAGTCCTGTCCTACACGCAGCTGACTTTACCCTGTGCATAGTCAGAGGATGTACAAGGGCCATCACCTTCTCCTTTCACGCCTGTTCTTTCTCTGACTCTTGGTGGCAGGGGGGCCGGGATCCCTGGGCCCCTCCCACCCCCGCCCGGGCCCGGCCAGCCTCACCCGCTGGAAGTCATGAATGATGTCCGCAGGGTCGCCGCCGCCGAACTGCGGCACCGGCACGTTGATGCGCTCGTAGTTATCCTCCAGGTAGATCTTCACGTCCTCCTCCAGCTCCATCCGCGTGCGGGCCTGGGAGGACAGGGAGTCCTCGTAGAAGATGCCGCAGTGGAAGAAGTTGTCTCGGGCCAGCTGAGCAAGGCGGGGAGAGAGACGGACGGGTCACGGGTGCCCTTGCACAGCCCCTGCCTGCGCAGACACTTCACCCTCCCCAGGCCCGCGGACACAGGAAGGTGGGGCTGAGACCCATTTCACAGCTGGACAAACTGAGAAACGTGGGGAGTCAGGGGGGTGAGCTGGGCCTCAGTTTCCCCATCTGTAAAATGAGGTGCTCCCTCAGGCTTCTTCTGATCCAGTCCATGAGCCTGTGCTTGGGAAATGGGGTGGGCCAGCACAGGGAGGACCCAGAGGGACAGACACCTGAGAAAGAGCCTAGGCAGGGCAGGAGGGCTCTCGGGGGCAAGCTGGGTCCTGGGGGCGGGCGGTGCCCTTCACTGCCACCAGAGGGCACTCACCCATCTTTCCTGCCCCCTGTTGCGGGGCCCTGAAGACCAAGGGGGCAAAGGGGAGGGGAGCAGAGAGGCAGCCCCTTGTAATGGCAGCTCTGCGTCCAACCTCACAGCCCCCACCACTGTCCCTGGACCCCGTGCCTCATGAGAAACCGGACAAACGCTGTTTCCCGAGTGGCGGCCTGACCACTCCATCAGAAAGGGAGAGGAGGCCCTGCGACAGGCCTGTGGCAGAGTGACTGCCCAGGGGACCAGTAGGCCCATGTCAGCCTGGATTGGGCAGAACTCCCCTTCTGTCTCCATGCAGATTCCCGGGATGAGTCACCACACGAATCCTGTGACATTGTGGTTGTTGAGGAACCCCAGGCTGTGAGTGGGGGCTGGGAACAGAGGGGACCTGAGGCCAGCGTGGGCCGAGGGTCCTGCACAGGATGAAAACCCAGAACAAGTGGGGAGCGGGCCATGGGGGGAGGGCAGGGAGGACAAAAGTGAAGTCAGCAGGCCCCAAGGGGAAAGGCCCAGGGAATACAGACTCTTCACGGGAAACTGGGCGGTGACAAAGCTAAAGCCCAGGGCTCGAGAGCGCGAGGTCATCCGGGTCACAGATGACTGGCTGTTGGTAACCTTTTTGTCCCTCTGAGATTCCCCGTTTGCTGTACTTGCTGGTTCTTCTTTTGAGCTACGTTTAATTTAACTACTTTCAGTTCTGAGTCCGTGGAGGGCTGCCTCCCTCCCCAGGTCGGGGCCGATCACAAGGTCGCTGTGACCGTAAACAGTTCTACAGCCCAGCTTCCGCCCAGGCGGGCTGACCGTGGCCAGGGCCTCCAGCCCAGGAGGTGCTGGTGTCTGCCTGCAAACCCGCCCTTCACCGCACCATTTTATAACCCGACCACCAAACATGAAATGGAATGAATTCCTTAAGGCACGACCCATGGGCACAGGGTTCGGACTCAGGAATCGCAGGGTTCCAGTGTTTGCTGGATCTGAGTTTCTGGTGATAATGGCCCTGGGTGACACTGTAGGAAGGGGTCGTGGGCTACACAGGCCAGATTCCAATCCCAGCTCCCCCACCGCTGATTGTACTCCTGGGAGTTTCCTGTTGACCTCGGATGTGTCTGCTGACGTGTAAGGACACTCATCCAGGTCTGTGGGCATTAGAGGACGGGGCCCCAATCCTGGCTCCTGGACCAGAGCTAGGCTCCCCAGGACGAGGGGCTGAGGGTAGGCTGGCCTGAGCCCAAGGAGGCCCCAGGGAGGAGGGAGGATGTAGGCTTTCTGGGTGAGCCTGGGCCCTCCTCCCACCTGGGGGCATGCCCCAGCTTCCTGCTGTCCCTCCTCATAAACCCCAAGCACCCGGCTCTCAACTGCTCCCGCTGCCCTTTCCCGCCAGCTCCCACACCCGCTGCAAGCTGGCACCCTTCCCTCCGCTCCTGAGCACCCCCCTTTCCGAGACCCTGCCTCCCCCGGCCCGGCCTCACCTGAGCGAGGAAGAAGTATCTGTAGATGTAGACAGAGGCGAACACCAGGCCCATGAGCAGCACGACCATGCCCATGGACAGGTAGCACACGCTGCCCACAGAGCCCCCCTTCTTGTGGCGGTGGTAGGGGGGCCGCTCCTCCTGTGGACAGCAGCGCAGGGTCAGCTAGGTGGGGGTCCTGTGCCCTGGAATCCTCCCACCCCTTTTCCGAAGTGAGCCATCACCCTGCCGGCCAGGAGGGAGCCTGGGGTCAGGACGGATACTTGGGATGCACCGAGCATTACCTGGAAGGAAAAGACTCGGGCTCTCCCCAGCTCCTCCTCCCACGTACACAGACTGACTCACCACGAAGCCACATAAAACAACCCACTGGGGCTCAGCGGGCACATTTGGAATTCCCTGTGCCACGAGTCCCCTTTACGGGGCCAGCTGCGGTCACAGTATATTCTTTCAAACATGGAAGGGGGAAGCACAGCGTGGCCTACGTGATCGTGCCAGGCCTCGTCACCTCCGGGAATTGGGGTGCTCTGGCAGTGGGGAGCCAGCAAAGGCTTTTGAGGTGGGGAGTGACAAGATCCACCTGAAGGCTGGAGTCCACAGGGTGGAGTGGAAGGGGGGCCATGGCAGGGGGCTGTCACGGCTGGTGGGGTCCGGGGTTCCACCGTCTGGCCAGGCAGCACAGGGCCCTCGATCCGCATTGCGTGGAGCGCAGCCTGCCGGGCAGCGATGGCCTCGCCCAGGTCCTGGCTGGCCGTGCAGGGCCGGCTGTCGGAGTGGAGCCTGCAGGGTGAGGTCTGGAGGCTTCCGGAAGCCAGGGTGCTTCTGCCAGGACAGAAACGTGGCTGTGGCAGCAGCAGCTGCCCCCAGGGAGGCCAGGGCAGGAGGCTCCTCCTGAGTCTGCTCTGGGAACCAGACTTGGGCTCAGGACAGTAGCTGCAGGGCTGCCAAGAAGCAAGCCGACCAGGCCAGCCCCGGGCCACGTGTCTGGGCGGGTGTGTGAAGGGATGGTGTACATCTCAGTAACACTGCTTCCCCCGGAGCCCTGGACTGAGCCTGGTGGCTCCGCTCTAGGCCAGCTGTGCAATGTTGGTCCGCTCATCCCCCAACCCAGGCCCTCATTCACACTGCGAGATGCTGTGAAGGTGCCAGGCCTGGCTCTGCCCCCAGTGTCCACCATCCAGTGCCCCTTCCATGGTGTCCAGGTACGGCCAGGGTGAGACTAGAGGCCAGTGCCAAGGACCCCCACCCCACTCCCATCCTCAAGGAGCTGGGGCCCTGTGGGGGAGGGGAGGAGCTTCAGCCCAGAGTGGAGCTCCTCACTCAGCCTCTGATCTAACTGCCTGCTTGGCCCTGGTTGTGCCTGTTTCCTTCCTCCCTTCAGCCTGCAGCGGGTGCCAGGACAGGAGGCCCGGTCTGGCAGGCGGGGGGCGGGGGCTCACAGCCTGCGTGTCCCCAGGCCATGTCCCCTGTGGCCCCTGGTTTAGCACACCAGGGCGGGGTGTGGCCTGGGCCTCAGAGGGGCTGATGCCTCCCTGCTTGGGGAGGGCAGAGAAGGCCTGAAGGACCCTCCCCCTCTGGGCACATCCATCACCAGGCCCGCCGGCCCCCAGCCTCAGCAGCCATGGGGTGAGACACAGAAAAGAGGCTTCCCTGACCACCCTGCTTCCCACCACCCCAGTCTGTACTCCACAACTCACCTGGCAGGATCGATAAAACCCACTGCCCCACACAGCCTGGGGCCTCCCTCTACCCTGGCCCTGCCTGGGGGGGGGGGGGGGGTCCTGGAATTAAGACCAGAGAAGCAAGTCGGTGAGACCACTCACCTGGCTGGCATCTCCTCAGCACCCTGGGGTTACTAACCAGGGAACACTTGGCCACTGCCCACAGGGCCCTGAGGGACAGCTGCCACCTGGAGGAGGCAGGGCTGCAATGGCTTTGACTTCCCAGTGTGCCCCAGGAGAGCACAGGACAGGGTGGTCTGCCAGCACCTCACAAGGAACAAGCCGCCCCGGGAGCTCGTGTTGTGAGTGGTCCTCAGGACTGGTCACTGACCCAGAAGGCACGGCTGTGACTCCTCCCCTTCTGGACCCACAGTTCTATTTAGTGGGACCCAGGGATGAGAGGGCCCCCAGGCCCCAGCTGGGGCTGGGATCCAGCGAGGGGCACACTACATTACCCCCCTTCTGTGAAATGCGAGCAGGTGGCCTCCCCACAGGGCTCTGTCCTGAGGGCAGTTTTATCAGGATGAAAGGAGACAAAGAACCCGAAAGCCTTTGGTGAAAGATAAAGTGCAGTTTTAAAATAGCAGATTTTCATCAGCGACCTTTTCCTTGTTAGGGACACCACCTCCCACAGCTGTCAGGCTGCAAGAGGGTCAGGCTTGTGCTCTGTCCAGGAAAGCCAGAGGCGCAAGCTTGTAAAAGCTGCTTAAAAAACAACAGAACGATCAATGGGCTACAAGCCAGAGCCCAGAGGCCGGCTCCACAAAGGCAGAACCCGGTCAAGGTGAGGCCCGCTGTTCTGGGACAGGTGTTTCTAAGGCGCAGAGGGAGGAGGTGGGGCTCACGTGGCCCCAGCTGAATGCGAGGGGTGGCTAATGTCCGGGCGGAGAAGGTCACAGTCTCCAGCTAGTACTTCCGACACTGCCTGTGTCCTCACGCCTCTGTGGGGGTCACTGTGAAGGCTGGGGATCCCCCATCTTTCCTAGATGTGCAGTGGACAAATGGCTTGCTCTCCTGCCTTATTGACACCTCCCTCCCCCCAATGCACACCTGGGCTCACACCCTGCTCCACTCCCAACCCAACACGCCTCTAGCCGGTGGGGGCCGCGCCCCAGGAGCATCATGGCCGAGCAGCAGAGAGGAACCACGGGGGTCCCTGCTTCCAGACTGAAGGGCCCCGCACAGGAAGGAGGGCCCCTGAATCCGGCCCCAAGGCTGTCGCTGCTTCCCAGACCACGCTGCACCGTCGAGACCAAGGCTCGAGCTCCAATTCCAAAGCCCCAGCTTATTGGCAGGCCCAGCGCACTGGGCACGAGCAGCTGGGCCAGAACCCGAGGCCTCAGCCCCCGGGATCCCTGGCGGCCTAGCTCACTCAGAAAGATGGCCCGGCGCCTGCTTCAGGGAGCCTCTGAGCTGCTAGACACCCAGGCATTTGGGGGCTTCCATCTAGAAAGTAGAAAATATTGCATACTGTTTCCATAGCGACTGGGCTTTCTGAGCAAAGTGCCTGGCTGTGCACTCTTGTGAGGCACGTGAGCCAGACCTGTGGGGACCCCAGAGGGGCCTGGGCCTCCGCCTGCCGGCTTCACTGGGCCCCACAACGGGCTCATTAAATGATCTAGCAAAGCCAGGGCCAGTCAGGGGGAACCCAGCCAGCTGGAGCATTAACTCAGCAGACCCTCGTGGCTCATGGAGAGGGCTCCCCAGCTACCTTCCCTCGGTGCTAATGTACAAATTCACTGCAAGCGGATTAAGCTACAGTTGCAGGCTGGAGGAGGAGCTGTCAGGGGGCCAGAGCGCGCTCACTGCAGGCCGGGACTGACGGGGCAGAGGGGTCTCACCTCACCTCCGCAGCATCACAGCCCCTCCTCAGCATCTGCCTTTCCCAGGCCACAGAGCACAGAGACAAGGGCACCAACGTGTGAGTGTGTGAGAGAGAGAGAACATGGCAGGGCGTGGGGAGGATGGGTAAATGCCTGTGCCCACCGGGCATGCAGGCTGCTTTCAAATGTACAGACACTGGGTCATTGCTGACAGGGCTATGACTTTGTCATCACTGGAGCCCCAGGTGCAGTGGGAGAGGAGACGGTGTGGGCCCTCCGAGGACACTGCTGCGCAAACCTCTGCTCTGCTTGGCTGGCTGGGGGCTTCCCTTCTACTCCGCTCCCCGCCTGAGCATCAGGGTGAGACCAGGGAAAGAGCTGGAGGACCAGCAAGTCGGCTGCTGGGACTCCCCTGGGGGACAGACCTCGGAGAGGCTGTGCTTCTGTGACTTTACCATAAACATTTTTTTTGTCACTAAGAGAAACTCATCTCCCTGGTACTCTGTGCAGCCTCGACACGTGCAAGGACAGGCTGAGAAAAGAGAGAAGGCAGAGAAGTCTGGCGCGTGCCTCAGTGCCGAAGTCCCCCTGGGAAGACCAGGGCAGGCCGGGAACAGGAAGCCTGTCCCCACACGGCCATGGGGCAGGACCGGAGCCGTTTTCACCAAGGTCCTTTCGACCCAGCCCGGGGCCTGTGGGATTTGGAACATTGGGGCAGGAGGACTTCAAGCCTGGCTAGATCCACCCTCCTGGCTGGCAGGGACCCTCCCCAACCACTCGGGGAGACCCAGCTCCTCCCTGCCAAGGGCCCGAGGCCAGGGCACAGAAGGTGAAATCTGATTCTCAGGTATGCAAGGAGCGACCCGGGGGCCATTAATCAAAGGCAAAGCCAGAGAAAATTATAGCACTGAGAAGATGACTGTACTGAACGTTTTTCTTTCCTCTCGCAGCCCCCGATCCGGGTTGAGTCTGGGCATGCCCATACCTGTGTGTGTGTGCGTGTGCGTGTGTGTGTGTGTGTGTGTGTGTGCACCCAGGCACAGGCGGACTGTGGGAGAGGGGAGGGCTGGCCAAGTTCACTAATATGCACGTCTGTCCTAAAGGTGTCAGATTTTAATCTCCTCCTGGGTCCCCATTGCTCCCTCTTACCAATAAAGGATGTGGCCAGAAGGTGCTAAGAGGGGGTGCTTCCCTGTCAGCTGCTCATCAGTGCAGGCTCATCATTATCTCAGAGGCAAACACCGCGTGGGGAGAGTGGGCAGCTGGAGACCCAGCTGGGCCCCCACCCCCATCCCTTCTGGGTGCACCGAGGCACTTCCTTCCAGCAGCAGATCTGGGGACGCAATCTTCCTTGTGTCTCAGTTTTTGCTCAGATGCAGGAGAGCAGCTCTGAGGGTGCTGCTGCCGCCCCCTGGCCCCCTGGCCCCCAGGCCGGCACAGGTGGACATTTTATTTCAGTGGCCAGAGGGCGGCCCCACCCCTGAAAGGCATTCGCCAGCTCATCTGTGCGCCCCGTGGTCCTTCCACGGCTTTGAATCTTATTACTGAATCCGTTTCAGTGACCAAGAAGGGGTCTAGAGTCACCCCAGCCACAAGAGACCTAATGAGCTTTCCCTTGCATCGCCACCACAGCGGCACAAAACCCAGTGACCTGTCTTGTTGAAGCAGCTCCTGGGGCCTCCCAGATGGCCTGCCTGTCCCACTCACTCGTCCTTCAGTGCCCTACTAAATGGCTGCGAGTCTGTCCTGGCGACAACTGTGGACGCTGGCGCCTGCTGTGCGCACGCCTGGGCACTGGGTGTGGGAAATATGCCCCCTGGCCAGGTGAGGCCACGCAGGCTCCCAGAAGTGAACTTTCTCCGAAGGCCCCAATTCCTGGAGAGCCAGGATGAAACAGCCAAGCCCCCTGGGCATCACCCCGGGGCCTGGAGCGGCTATAAAATTTCACGGATATGCATATCTGTCCTAAAAGTGTCGGTTTTTAATCCTCCTCCTGGACCTCCATTGCTCCCTCTTGCCAATTAAGAGAGGGAGAGGATCCTGCCCAACAAGGTTTGGGGGAGCAGGCACGCTCAGCAGGCCGAAGGCCAGCACAAAATGGCAGCAGGAGGATGCGGATATTTCCATTTCACGGTGGGTGAGAGGATGTCTGAGCTTGGAGCCAGGGGCTGGATGTCAGTCATTGCCAAGGTGATGCTGGCATCTGCCACCCTGCCTGTGGGCCACCATCGACAGCATCAGCAGGGGCCCTCCAGAGAATGTGCCACTCTTGCAAATTCGGTGGGCCTTCACTAGAGCTTGAATTACATCCTCCCACTGTCTGGCTGGTCCTCCCTCCTGCCCGAACCCTAAAGCTCTCAGGGGCAGAGTCCTGTTTTCCAGGCCTCAAGAACGCTGCCTTGGGCCCCCCATCCCAGGCTGAGATGAAGGGAGGAAGGAGGCTTGACAAGTGCTCCTTGCAAACTTTTAAAGCTGCAGACCAGTCTTCATATATGGAGTGCCCTTCTCCATGCAGGCATCAGAGGAAGATGGAGCTGCCCTGGTGGGGGTCATAGCAACCCCCAACTGCCCAAGCAGTGCTGATGCGGCAGTGACATCAGGGCAGGGGAGCTGGCCCAGGCTCCCAGCATTCCACACGCAGGGCGCCTGCTCAGGCTGTGACACCCCTGTCTTAGGCCTCTCTCCAGAGTCCCCTCCTCCAGGGCACAGGTATTCCCCTGCAACCCTCATCATAGTCATCCCCAGGACATCCCCAGGCGAGCTGTATCTCAGCCATGAACTTGGGGAGGGCCTTGGCGCGAGGAGAGCCATCAGAAGCCAGCCTCGGGAAGAGGGAGTGGACAAAGACTTTTCTTCGAAGTCCTGTGTCTGGGGGCTGGGGCGCCTTGGTGCACCCCAAGAGCGTTGGGGGCGACGCTGCGTAGACCCCTTTGCCCTGACACTATAAAGCTTGGCTGGACCAGCCCTCCCTCCCATCACCTCCCTACCGCGCCAGAGTCCTGTCCCCTCCCGGGTCAGACTTCACGTCGCGGAAATGCCTTCCCTCCCCAGGCCCGGGGCAGGGGGAGACGCGGGAGGACGCCGGGCAGGCGGGGTGCAACGAGGCCCGCCCCCACAAAGCGGGGCCAGGATCGGCAGGACACCTGAGCCTCGAGGGAGCCTCCCGGGGTGGAAGGGGCAGCCCGAGCAAGAGCCGGGAGAGGAAGGAAGAGGGACGGGGGTCGGTGGGATCCGGCCGCCCCACCTCGGAACCCCGAACTTCGAACTCCGGACGTGCGGCCGGGCGGGTTCTGGTTTATTTCATCTTTCAGTACTTTCTGCTCCACTGATTCAAGTGCAGGGTAGCAGCACGTCCCCCGCCCCTGGCAGCCCCCTGTTTGGGACGAAATCCAGGGTCCCTCTCCCGCTCTCCCTTCGTTGGCACCAGAAGTCCCCCCCCGCCCCCCGTTTCCCCACCAATCACGACCCACCGCTCCACTTTGGAGAAACAATGTTCAACCTTCCTCCCATCCCCCACCTGAGGACTCGACTCTCGGCCCCTCCCCCTTGATTGGAACCAGACGCAAACCCCCCACCAGCAACGTTCCTTGAACTTCTTCCGCCCAGCGCCCCCCTCTACTGGGGGGCTAGGCTCCTAGGGCCCCTCCCTATACTTTGGGAAGAGACCTCGAGCGCTTCCCACCTGGGGACTAGCGACTCTGACCCCCTCCCACACTTAGGGCTTCGACTGTCGGGGCGGCTTCGGGACAGGACCCAAGCCCCCTCCCCTCTTGGGGATGGATGACCCGCTCCCGGCTCCGGGACCCCGTGCGCCCCAGCAGCCCCCGCCGAGCCCCCCGCCCCTCTCACCCGAGTCGGCGTCAGCAGGATCTCAGCGGCCGGGCCGGGGGCCGGGGCCGAGGCCGAGGCCGAAGCCTTGTCGGCCTTGTCGGCCTTGATACCGGCCACGGCGGGCTGGAAGCTGATCTTCACCATGGCTGCGCCGGGCCGCGGTCCGACCTGCAGCCTCTGACTGTGCAGCCTCCTTCTGCGCCGCGCTGCTCTGCACTCTGCAGGCACCGGAAGTTTGGATCCTGCTCGCGTCCCTTTCTCTAACCCCACCTCCAGCCCTCCCCGCTACCGCCCCCAACCGGGGGGCCTTGGCGCCCGCCGCGCCTGCGCCCCCTTCCCGCCCGCTGGGTTCTCCGTGAACCGTGCCCCGCGCGCTGCTCGGACCTGCGGAGGACTGAGGTTCAGCCACTCCACCCACCCACCCATCCATCCATCCATCCATCCATCCATCCATCCATCCATCCACCCACCACCCACCCATCCAATCAGGCATGGACTCAACCCTCTTTGCAGCCTTATCCCTTCCAGCTCCCTCTCCAAGACCAGCGTCCCCAGAACACACAAACTGTTAAGACACTGTTTGCCAGACAAATGCAGCTTCCAGACAAGTTCCCAGGCTCACTCTCCCCTACCCCACTTCATACCCTCCTCTTTGGAAATTTAGAGCCTCCACTGTACCTGCTCAACTCCCTGCTCCAGCGCCCCTGCCCCCAACTTGTCCTGGGCCCTGGGAGGAGGCTCCAAGGCCAGGCACCTAACAGCTCCTCTGTGTCCTGCACCCTGCATTCATCCACACCTCATTCATTCTCCATCATCCTTTTCCCTTCTTCATTCCTGCAGAACCATCCCAGCCCCTGAGACCTCCCGTTGCCCTCATGGTGATGGAAACAAGGAGGACTAAACCCAGGGTCACAGAGCCAGCTGGGGCAGATCTCTGGTGGGCAGGGTAGGACCATCTGGCTGAAGTTGGCACACATGAACCCTACCTTCTCCAGAAGGCTTTCTCTGAACTCTCTGGCCTGGGTTAAGTCCCTGTACCCTGTGTACACTCCTGCTGTGTGCACCCTCCGTGTGTACCTCTCCTTATTCTTGACCTTGGGCCCCGCTCCGGCCAAGTGCCAGGCCCACATCCGACTGCAGTGGGTTATGTCTATCAACAGTAACTATAGCAGAAATAAAACTCAGAAAAATTTAAAACACTAGAATACACCTATTCCTTTAGCTGTCAAAGGAATGTCACCGTATGTTGAGTAGCCTTTAAAAAATTCCACTGAGAGAAAAAGATTGAAAAGGAAAATAATATCTTAACATTTATTGCAAAAACGGTTTTGACCTTGCAGACCTCCTAGACAGGCCTTGGGGACCAGTGGGGTTTCTGGACCACACTTACAGAATTGCTCCTCTGGTCAAGGCTCAAGGATCCATGGTCCATGGATTCTAAGATACACAATTTTTCATATGTTAACATCGCTGAAGTCAAGAATTTATTACAATTAAAATTGGCAGTGATTTTTCTTTCTTATACTTAAAGCAATGGTGTATCTTACAATACACGGCCGTAGACTGATGGAATGCAGTGTAAGTAGTCAGTAACTCACGGTGCCCCAGGAGGCAGCATGACGCTAACATCACACATCGGGTTTTGTGGGTTCAGGTAAGGATAGCAGAGTGAACCTGGGCATCGGGAGGCACGATGGAGGCTCGATGGCGGATGCCACATCTAGGCAGGAGCAAGGAAGATAGACAGGGCGTGGATGGGTAACAGGGGCACGAGAGGCATCCTGGGCTGGGTGCTCCTGCCCAGCAGTCCAGCCACTGCCAGCCCTGCGATCCTTTTCGTCCTGTCCCTTCATCTCACCCAAGTGACTGAGCTCCTTCTGCTCACCTTCTGGTCCCAGGGCCTGCTCAGGTGCTGCTGGGGAAGGTGACACCGTCATGCCCTTTGAGAGGTTTCTTTAAATTTGTAATCCTTACCTGAGGATATGTTTTTTATTGGTTTTGAGAGAGAGAGAAACATCAATGTGAGAGAGAAATGTGGATTGGCTGCCTCCCATAGATGCCCCGACTGGGGATCAAACCCACACCCTGGTTATGTGCCCTGATCAGTAATCAAACCTGCAACCTTTTGGTGTATGGAACTATGCCCTAACCAACGAGCCACCCAGCCAGGGCCCGTCATGCCCTTTGGGACCTTCGTGCCACCTCCTCCTCTGGGCCCTCGGTGCCGCAGAGCAGCCCACGTGAGTGGTGCCCCGCAGAGCTAAGCAGTGGATGAGTGTGGCTTTGTTCCCAAAGTCATTCTCAAAGGAGGGCCTTAACTAGCAGCACCAGCAGTACCTGGGAACTGACTAGAAAGGCAGACAGCCTCTTCCTGTCCTGTCCAGACTGCCTGCTCCTCTCTCCTTCTCAGCAGCTGAGCTCACCTCTTTCTCACAGAGAATCTGGGAGCCATCCTGTGGGAACACCCTCATGCACCTGGCAGAACTACCCCCCCAGCAGCGGCTGCCTCTCTGACTGCTGTGGTTCCTCTTGGCCCTTCAGGTTGGAGGGAACATCTGTCTGTCTGCTCTCCTCTCAGACTCATCCCACCTTCTTGTGAAGATTCCACACCTCCCACCATCTCAGATACCTGAGGGCCTCGGCCTTGCCCCACCCGTCACAGCCCCTCTACGCCAGCCTCAGCTCCCCTTCCTTCCTCTCCGTTCTGAAACATGCTTGTATTAACCTTGAAAGAAAACAAAACACCTCCTTGGATCCCTTGTCCCCTCCCCTTGGTATCCTATGTCCCTCATGTTCTCCTCGGCCAAACTTCTAGAAAGTTTGATCTCTGTTTCCTCATCCCCACACTCACCCCAGCTCTCTGGCTTCTGTCCTCACACCTCCATCTGGTTTTTAACCCCGCTCTTGATAGGCCTTTGGGCTGCTGGGCCACGCCCTCTTGGACTCCGCCCCTCCCATCCACCAAATTGAGGAGGGAGATGGGCTCCAGCGGGAGTTTCCTGAAATCAAACCCCCCAACAGTGAATTTTAAAATTGAAACCCTAAATGTGAACATCTATATGTTTACCTCTTTCTCCAAATTGAGTAGTTGAGTGCTGTTCTTAAAGAATATCTGGTTTATCACAACGGGAAGCACTGGCTATTTGAGACTTACGGTCATAACTAACCTCGGATGGTCAGTGGAGGGGCCTGCAGTGATCTCAGACAAGGGTGTAGCCACGGCCCTGAGTTCTATCAGCTCCTCAGAACTTAATCCATCTTGTAGCTTCAAGTGTGTGCCCTTTGACCGGCATCTCCGTCCACCGCCTGTGGTAACCACCCCTCTTCTCTCCGCTTCTGTGAGTTTGACTACTTTGGAGCCCACATATAAATGAGACAATACAGTGTCTTTCTTTGTCTGGTTTATTTCACTTCGTCTGGTATCCTTCAGGTTCATCCATGTTGTCACAAGTGGAAGATTTTATTCTTTTTTATGGCTGAATAACATCCCATTTTATCCACATTTTCTTGATCTACTCAGCGATCAGTGAACACTTAGGGTGTTTCCATGTCTTGACTATTGTGAATAATGCTGTGATGATCATGGGAGTGCTCATATCTTTTCAATATAGTGATTTCATTTCCTTTGGATCTAGTATATCTAGTAGTGGAATTGCTGGATCGAATGGTAGTTCCATTTTTAATTTTTTTGAGGAACTTTCATAATGGCTGTACCTAATAAGTATATTGAAGAGGTAGTTTCCCTGGAAAATCAGAAGAAAGAGACAAATCTCTGGAAAATCTAACAAATAAGAGAGAACATATTAATATGAGAAAAAAGATATAACTACAGATAAGGTAGATATTATAAATTATAATGTATTATATATGATCATATCTAATAAATATGAATATTCCAAAGTCAGTGATTTTATGGAAAAGTATAAATGACCAAAATGGACTCAAGAAGAAGTAGAAAACCATAATGCTTTATAATCAAGAAAACCACTGATAAAAGTTCTCAAGTAATTATCTCAAAAAATGGCTCTGAGCAGCCAGACCACTTAACTGGATGGTTCTTTCAAACTAAAAGAACAGCTAGTTCTGTTGGTGCTTCAACTAATTTTAGGCATAGATTATATATTCTGACACAAAATCTGACAAATAAAAGAAAGACACATAATTTCAGTTATGAATAGAGATACAGAAATTCAATGGTACGTTAGAAGAACAGTGAAGTGCCATCAAATGGAACTTCTGAGAATAAAGACACAGATTTCAGGTTTGAAAATCTATTGGGGGAGAAATTGCTTTGTAACATAATGCTTAAAAGTGATAGCTATTCAAACTCGAAAAGCATAAAGAAAATAAAACAACTATTATGACAAAACACACAACAATCACTGTTAATACTTTGTTATTTTTCCTTCAATATTTTTTATTCTACAGATGAACGTGTGTGTGTGTGTATGTGTGTGTATTCTCAGCTGGGAGTGATTTTAAACTTTAGGGAGTATTTGGCAATGTTTGTCGCAACTTGGGGTGTGTGTATTGGGGGGTAGGGGGAATTGCTACTGGCCTCTAGTGATTAGGACAGTCCCCACAACAATTATCCAGTCTAAAATGTCAATAGTGTCAAGGTTGAGAAACCCTGGACTAATATCCTGCATTATTTTCCCTTTAATTTCAGCATTTCCTCATGTGGTAGGCAGGCAGAATGTATCCCACTCTACCTGCCAAGATATCCATGCCCTAATTTTTGGACCCTGTGAATTTTTTACCTACACAGTGAATGAAACTTTATAGACATAATTAAGATTATGAACCCTTAGAGCGTTGGCCTGCAGTCCAGAGAGACCCGGGTTTGGTTCCCACTAAGGGCATGTGCCTCAGTTGCAGTTTGTCCCTGGCCCTGGTTGGGTTGTGCAAGTGGCAACCACTCAATGTGTCCCTTTCATGTTGATGTTTCTCTCTCTTTCTTTCTCCCTCCTACTCTATCTGAACAAAATATGGAAAAATGTCCTCGGGTGAGGATAAAAAAAGATTATGAACCTTAAAATAGGGAGAGTATTCTGGATTATCTGAGTGATCACATGAGCCCTTAAAAGTAGAATATTTTCTCTGGCTAGAGTGAGAGAGATGTGGCAGAGGAGAATTCAGAGCCATCCGAAGCATGAGAAGGACTAGACATGGTGTTGCAGGTGTGTAGATGGGGGAGGGGCAATGTGACAAGTATAGCAGGTGCCCTTAAAGTGCTTGTCACCAAAACC